AACCGGAAGTTGGTGACAGTTGCGGAAATGCCCCATTAGCCGCACCGAAATAATCTTGATCCTATAAAAATAATTTCACTCTTCTTATTTCATGGCTCCAACTAGTGTTGATGAAAGCTGTAGTCCGTCAAACTGGTGGTACAGTTCTTCCACTTCACATTTTTCTGCATTACCAGGGGCTTCTGGCATTACTAGTGATTACCGCAGTTTCGAAAGTGGAGAGGCTTCGAAACTCGCTGGCTTATTAAAATCCCACGGTTGCTTTCCCGGGGAGGGGGGTGAGGGACTCCTATATGAAAAGGTCGTGGATGCTCGTCGTCTCGCTTAGGGGTATAAATCAAGGATTCTGGACTCACTTAGGGTGTTCATGACTAAACGCCACATTTTTAGCTGAGGATGCACTCCAAGAAATAATAATTACAAAAGCTCTTATTCCGTGTTTAGGCTAGATTTCTGCCTCTCTCTCGAGTGTGGTCTTCCAACGCTAGCTCCTTTTCCCTACTCTTCGGATTTCCAGTCTAGTAGAACAGGTTGAACCCCTACTTACGTAATGATCCCATTTTCCTCCCTTGGCAGATTTAATACGACGCTGAAATGCCAGTATGCCGCGTAAATGAACCCGCCCTGGTTAGATTGGGAAGGGGTCGAGTAACAGCTCTTGTCAGGTCTCACATGAATGGCTTGATATCCTTTATTAAAGAGGACAAAAGAATAAACAACAGAAACAAAGCCATTAGCCCCGAAACAATAACAGCTGTCTAACAGCTGCTAACAAACAAAACAGTTACAAGCATACGAGAGCTGCTACACTTTTACGAAGCCAACGACGAAGCCGCGAGAAGAAAATTTTCTGGACATCCGGCCGCAGCTTTTTTAATTTTGCTATATCATATCTTATACAGTCGTAGTGCACCTGGCACGAGCCGCCCAAAAGACATGAAAATACAACAAAAACAGAACAATAAAGTCAAACTTCACCTCATAGGGTTTATTTACAACTACTTTTGATAGTTTTTCCCTTTTAAATATAAAGTATCATATTTAATCAGTCCGTTACTCAGTATCTACTCTCATAACGATTTCTTACATTCGTAGATCAACGTAGAAAATATCAATTCAAAAATAACACAATTTGACACGAAAACTCGTCCACCTTTGAAAGACGTACTTTTTCACATTTGTTTTATAGAACGAGTGATTTGAAACTCCACGCCCCTCCTGGTCAGCAAAAAAAGACTGCATATTACATTTACAGACAAGTAACCTACAGTCAAATTCACACTAAGCTCGAAATGAACCAGTGAAGCTACTTTCACAACCATTTTGAAGGACAAAACGACAACTGTTACGTTGTGCTGTTTGTTTGTTTGTTTGTTTGTTTTTTTACAGAGAAACGAATTTCAGGCTGCTGTAGAGACTACTCATTTACTAAGTTTTTGCGCGACCATCTCTAACAATCTGTTCGAGTATTTTTCCAGTAAAACTTCATGTATTTCTACATCCTCGGGTATGGACGATATAGAAAACGCCGAATTTCTTCTCAAAGAATTCCCTTTAGGTAACAGTTGGTCCAAGTTGCCAGTGGAGAAACTTAACGCGCCGCCCAGAGGCCTGGAACCTGAGCCGGGCTTACCCCTGGGAAGAGAAGAAAGTTCCCACTGCCGCCGTCGAAGGCGCGACTCGTGTATTTGATCCTCTATGGCTGAAAATGTGCTTGAAATGTACGACAACACCTCATGGCTTTCGTCCGAGGGTTCGTCATTCAGAATCTGCAAATGAACGCAGGCAGATTAACTTTTGTTAACGATTTCGTAAAAAGTTATAATTGTTCGAATCATCTGCTCCCGTTTTAAACTGGTATTTCAACCCCCATTTATGATTTCAAACTCTCAGTCTTTTACTGGAATCTTGTTGCATTCACATCACTTAGGTCCAACTGAAATTCAGTAAGAAAATAAAGTGGCTCTGCACTCCTACGAACACCTATTTTTATCCAAAATTAAATCCCTATTACGCATATATGAACAATACACATTTTACTCATTCTGATGCTGTAAGCTAGTAATTATTATTTGAGACCTTTGTAATTTATATACGCCAACTAGCGGTTCCACCATCATTTGAAACTGAAGATGATGAAGATTCATCCGAAAAAAAAAGATTCTCAAACTTAAGAGTAAGTACTTTCTAAAAACTACCATTACTCAACCTGAGCTGAACAAGCACGATGTTATGTTGCTATGGCAGCTACATATTACTTTATAGGGCTTACCCTGGACTGGAGGTCAACGACTTTTTGGAAAGCTTGAACAAGGTTTTCCAGAGTCTCCTGGCATGTGCTTTGATCGATATCTGTCGCGCTAGCACTATCTACAAGGGTACACAGTCAAAACACTTGAGTGCATTTTCCAACAACAACAACAACAACAACAACAACAACAAAAAGAATTAGATGCAGACAAACAAGGTTTCAATGATTTCGTTGTTACCCGACAAAAAGTCAGGCTCTTATTTAATAGACTTTGAGATCAGACCGGAAAAACTCCCTCACTGATGACATCACTCCAAATCATGTGCTGTTCTGATTGGTTGTTACTGAGAGCCCAAATCCCAGACTTCAAAACACCAACCAAAAAATCAAAAACTGTAAAATAAAGCAAGGAATTTCTCACCGTGGTCCTTACCAATGGGTGACCGTCTGCTACCGGAAGGAGGAGGACTGGTACTCAACAGGTTCGCCTCAGACATGCTCAGTCTGATTGGTTCAGGTGGCGGTGACGCAATAGCCGCTGACAACTCAGCTGAAAGTTCACTGAGATCTGGCATGAAACTCGACCCACTCCCACTCCGAGAGTTTTTGACGGGTGACGTAGTCTTGTTGGTCGTCTCCACGTCGGAGCCCAGGCCCCTAGTGTTCGGTTTCTTTTCGAGAGTAGAACCTTGGGCCGATCTTACCTCGTTACCAGACCCTGCTGAGCCAGGAACTGGCTTTTTGTCCAAAGTTGGTTTCAGTTCGGTTAAATTGTCATTATTGTTCAGAGCAGCAGCTTCCAAGCTTGTATTTTTGAATGGATCTACATCACTCGAGGTCCCATTTGAAAGATGACTATTGTCCTTCAGCGTGCCATTGACATCGCGAGGTTTTCGTTCTAATGGTTTATTTGTTGGAGTTGTTTCCAGAAGCCCAGCGCTTGACTTGGGCCGCTTTTCTCCAGTTGTTAATTGATCAGGAATGTCCATGGTATCGACTGTTCTCGATGGAGGCACGCTAGGATCTAGAATAGACACTTCTTGAATATTGTGAAGCCTGTTACCTATATCACCTAAAGATCTCGATTTTTCTCGCCTCTCTTCATTGGTCACCCGCCCTTTTTTCTCTCTCAAAGGAACATTTTTCGTCGATGAGGAAGTCTCGTTGGTTTTAACGCGGGTTTGAGAATTTTTCAGCGCTTGCTCCGCTGTGGGATTGGAGGATCGTCTCTCAGGTTGTGTGGGTTTGGTCGGCTTTTTCTCTTTTTCTTCCTTCACAGTTTTTAATGAGCTTTCACCATGTTTTGTTGGTCCTGAATTGGAATTCGTCGTTGCTAATTCCGCAGTTGGCGCAGACGATCGTTGTTCGGCTTGTTTCTTCTTCGATTTCTCGTCCTTGTCTTCTTGCTTGGTGGTTGTCGTTTGTGAATTTTTCGTGACCACATCTTGAGGTGTGAAAGCTCGAGGATCAGAGTACCTCTTATGCTTCTCCTCTTTGTCATGTTTGGAACTTCCACCTAGAATCCCTAAAGACTTCCGCCACGATTTCCCCTCGGAACCCCTACGTTCAAATTTACCCCCCGGGGCAGATTTTGCGTCGGATGTTTGCTTTCCCGGGGGAGGTGTGGCCCGTCCTTTCTCTTTGTCTTTTTCCTTAGTTTTCGTTTTTTCTTTTTCCTTCGCGTTTTCTTTTTCTTTTTCTTTTTCTTTGTTCTTAGACGACTTTGACTGACTAAAGAACGCAATGAGATGCGAGGCAGAACGTTTAGATTTCTCAGAGTCATCATCTTTTGCTTCATTCTCTTTCTTAGCTTCAAGGATTTCTCTTTTCTCAGAGCGTTCTTTCTCTTTATGATTCTCTTGTAAGTCTGCTAATCGCGTCTGTAAGAGATGATAACAGTATAGAACAGTTACTGCAACGAATGTCAGTCGATAATCCGTGATTTAAATAAACGTCTGCTGACTCAAAGTCGACAGTGAAAAATAACATATGATGACGACATAGCTCCACAGAGATCCGTGCAGCGTCTCTTATTGGCTATTTCTTTGCACGGAATATCAGCCAATCACGGATCTCAGTCGGGTTACGTCATCAGTATGAAAGTTTTCCAGTCCAGTCTCAAACGTTTCTCGAGTCCAGTACGTTAAACATGTCCTCCCTTACCTCAAGTAAGTTAGTTATGACGGCTGGCTTGGTACTCGAGTCTGTTAAGCTTGACACAGGTGTGCTGTCTCCATCTTTAGCAGCAGTAGAAGCGGCAGCAACAGCTGTAGTGGGTGTGGTAAAAGAAACAGATGTAGAGACGGTGTTGGTCTTGGAAGCTGCAGTAACAGCTGAAGTAGGCGTCGACGAGACAGACGTGGTGACGATGCTGGCTTTAGAAGCGGCGGTAACAGTAGTAGTGGGTGTAATCGAGACGGAGGTTTTAGAAGTTACAGTGACAGATGTAGTGGAGGAAGACGACACAGTGGTGGTGATTGATGTTGACGTTACGGTGTTGGTGTTAGATGCCACAGTGGTGGTTGGCATCTTCCTTAGAATGTCTTCTTTAGCTTTCCATCCCAGCTGCAAAAAAAAAACAAACAAACAAACAAAAAAAAAGGAGTCATCACTAATGGAGCCACTACGCTTCCTGTTTTCGATCATCGTCTGAGGAACGAGGAAACAACTAATAACACAACATGAAGACAGCGTGGCCGAGTGGTCAGCGAGGCGGACTCGCAGTCCAGCGGTCCCGGGTTCGAGTTCCGCTCTGATTAATACCTGGATTTGTTTCACGGTAGTCTCGAGTTCAAATCTTCGGCCACGCTTATAAATA